TTGTATCTCGATGATAGACTACTCTTTTCGACTGGAACTTTTAGAAGATTCTAATGACTTCAAAAGCTGCAAAGTTTTAGCCCGAAATTCAGTATCACTCCAAAATAGCAGCGCCAGAGAAAGAATACTTCTAGTCTAAACAGATTCTACGTAATGACTAGGTTCTCATCTCAAACACAAGGTATCATCTCGAGTGGTTCGCTCGTTAGCAGAACATTGAGACTTACACTCGAGAGAGATCATGACATTTATTTAAACAATACTTCTATTCTTCTAGGTCTCTATTTTTTTAATACATTTATCATTGAACATGCATATATATTGGTAGGATCATGTCCTTGAAATAAAAAATAATTGACACTATTTAATACATTGAATCTCATTCTAGTTTTGTGTTCATAACATTAATGAAAATTATAATTTCCTAATCTTATATAGACCGAATATGATAGCTTTTTTCTTTTTCGTTCATACCTTTCCAAGACCCATTTCATCAGCAAGAATACCATTAAGATTATTATTATATAATGAAACAAGCCATTCAAGACCTTGTATTTGATAAGGTTTAAGTGTTCCACCAACAAGTAATAATGATTGTTTTGTAACACGTTCTCGTACACGATGTGCAACAGCATAATATGAATCTAATGATGCTGTATGATATTCATCATCTTCTGTTGCTTGTTTAGCTTTTGTTAAAACTTCTTTAACAATTTTTTCATCTTCAACAACACCTTTTTCTTGTTCATCAGCTGTTGGTACAGGAATTGTAATAGCTGTTTCAGCTAAACGTGCTGTTATATCATGTGATGCATCATCATCTTCATCATCACTATTTTCTCTTGGTATAGGTTGCCAACCAGGATTTTTTTCTAACCAATTATCAAGTTCAGATTCTAATGGTGCATCTGGTCCATCCTTTATTTCACCTGTTGTTATATTTTTAACTTTAATATATAAATAATTTTGATCATCATTAAAATAATTTGATTGTGGTTTTTTATCCATTTTTTTCTTTTTTAAGTCATTTTGATGTTCTTTTACAAGATTAACTAAACTAATTATATATGCATCTGTTTGTGATAATAAATAAGCTAAACGTTTATCTTTTTTTTCATCAATTAATTTTCTATAACCATCTTCATCTTCATTCATTAAACGACGCATACGTTCACGTTCACGTTTTTCTTGTTCTTTTTTTTGTTCACGTTCAGTATTTTGATGCCATGATACAATTGAACGTGCTAATTTATTTGTTTTTAATTGTATTGTTTTATGATATTCTTTAAATTCACGTGAAACTGTTAATATAGCAGTTAAATATTCTTGATGTTTTTGTCGACGTTTACGATCAATTTCAGCTTTTTGTTGTTTTTCTAATTTTTCTGTTGAACGTGCTTCACGTAAACCAAATTGTTTTGGACGTTTATATAAACGTGGATTTGTACCAGTTTCAAGATTTGTATCTAAACGCATACATGTTACAATTTCTGAACGTAATTGTCTTTGAAAATTTAATAATTTTAATGCTTTTAATTCAATCATTAAACGTGTACGATAATTATCTTGTGTTAATGTTTGTAAAATTTTTTCTATTTCATTTATACGTATTAATATATTATTTTGTATACGATTATCACGTTCATTAAGAACTTCTTGTACATCAATACCAATTGGTTTTATTATTGATGTTAAACGATGATTATTTATACGTGTTGATGAAGAATTTATATTTGTTACATTATCTGTTATTAATGGAATTTGTGCTGTTTGATTTTGATAATTTATTGATGGCATTGAAGAATAATAACGTGAAGGTATATTACCATTTATAGGTGATGATTTATAACGAGATGAATCCATTAGAGATGATGATGATGAATTTGACAGTTGTTTAGTAGGATAATATTGTTGTTGATGACGTTTTATAACAATAAGATGTTGTTCAGGTATTGGCTGATTACGTATAAGATATTTATATGCACTTATTTGATGATTAAATAAATTTAATTGTAAACTACTCATTGTTGTTGTTGATGACATCATTTGATTATCAATCATACCAGAATTAGACATATACACTAGAACAAAATAATTTAATTTGAAACTATTTTACAACAAAAAAATATGTATATATACTTGTTTGTTGTGACGTTGATGATGGTGATGCTTGATTCATTATCATTGGATAATATTTATATGAAATGAAATATTTAATACTACATGATAGATAAAATAAAACACGAATCTAGAATAAGATAAACTAAATCATAATATTCGATGAATTTACTATTCGATTTAATAGTCAATCATAATTTGCTTGCTTGAATTACATTTGTTCTTTTTTACTAGTTTCATCAACGAACGAATGATAGTTGATTATTTTATTTTACAATAGTCATGACATTGACAAATCATAGTTTGGTAGTTATAGATGTCGTCTATCTATGGCTTAGTTCAGTTGCATCGTTTATCGATCGGCGTACATTGTAATATATATGGATTAATTTTACTCAAACTTGAATCGTAGTGCTAAGAATTTGATAGGCTTTGAAACGAATATTCCGAAAGTAAAGACAAGTTTGATTAGATGATGATGATGAACAATTGAAACGTCTGTTCGCATTTGGCAATGTAATATCGATGATGTTAAAGAGAATTTATATTGACTGTAAAAATAGATTTTCGAAATAGATAAAACAAAACAAAAAAAAGGAAAATTATATAGATGACATTAAAGTTCATGAATAATTAATGAGAATTTGTGAAAATGAATTGTGTTCAACGTGTGATGGTCTCCAAGTATGAATCGCCAATCGAGCTGACATAGTTTTTTTCATACGTAGAATTTGATGAAATTAGTAAAAGCCTAAAAAGGTTCACCCTCGTGCGCTGTCATTACCGTTTTATTGTGTTTCTAATACCTTTGACAAGATATTTATGAAGAACTCAAAAATCTGAAATTTTCTCCATGAATTCATCCCATAGTGATTAAAATGCTCTAAAAATTTTAGTCGAAAAGGATATATGTTAGAGGTTAAAAAACATTCAGTAAAACAGTAGTGACAGCGCATGACAATGAACTCTTCTAGGGTTCTACCAATTTCATTCAGTTCTATATATAGAAAAAAATATCAGCTCAGTCGGCGTTTCACACTTGGGGATCTTTCTTCGTAAGTTCTTTTATTGTTAGTGTCAATTCTATGTCTCAGCAGTAGTAGATCTGCGACGTTCAAATGGTAGGAAGAAAGGACATCTTATTGAAGAATAGAAGAAAACAATGTTAGTAAAAAAAACCACTGTTCAAAACTTGGCCGAGTTTGCATGATTTCTTTTTTGCATATTTCTTAAATCTACCATTACTGTATCCATATTCACACATTTATCGTATATATATTTTCTTTCAAAATTTTTGCTGCCTATAGTTTTTCATTATATACCACATAATGTCTTTTCATAAAATTTTAACCCACAAACGCTTCCCTGGAGCCCGTCCGGATTGCAATAGGGTTAATTTTAATGCTATATACACATAAAAAGAGATCGCGTGTTGCCTCTCTAAATATGCCTCCACGAAGATTAGTAGAGTTCATTTAAAATGTCAGCCGGTCATATTCATGTGTACTTTTAACAGTACAGTGACTTGAAGTATATGTGGCGCTTATTGTACCCCTAGTGAGTCCGTACGGATCCGAACTTGTTAAAACAGAAAGAATACGTAAAGCCAGCATTTGGATATATTCTATCTGTAGGAGCTCTGCAGGAGACATCGGTAAAGAGACAAAAACAAAAGCATCTGTGCCCAAGCTACTGTAGATATAAGGCAATTCTGGTGTCTATTACTTTACTACTATCCACTGGAATAGGGTACAATCATTGTTCGTAACTTGGTAACGCCAACAATTATGAAGTTTGGATTGTCACCGATAGAAAGAACAATATCTGATCCATAAGTCCACTACAGCATCAAAATATTTGAAAGATTATCTCGAAGATTTTCCCGCAAGTTTTCAATCGTTGTCTAGAAAATCGCGAAAAATTCTCGAAATTACCTTTAAACTATTTCGATTCTACAGTACTTATAGATCAGATGTTGTTCTTTCTAGCGGTGAAAATCCGAACTTCATAATTGTTGGGGTTACCGAGTTATAAGCAATGATTGCACTGTATTAATCCATTGGATAGCAGTAAAGTAGTAGACATCAGAATTGCTTGGTATCTACTGCAGCTTGGATTCAGCTGCTTTTATTTTTGTTCATTTACTGACGTTTCCTGCAAAGCTCCTACAGATAGAATATATCCAAATCCTGACTGTGCGTATTCTTTCTGCTTTAACAAGTTCGGATCCGTACGGATCATAGGGATACAATAAGTTTACTTGAATTTTCCCCCTTTATTTTTTTTTTGTTTTTGTCAATATATTTCTTTCATTTATTGATCTACTATATATAGCGAGAAAGTCCAGAACGCGCTGCATCTTTTGATATATTTACATTGAACATCAAAGGCAGTTTAAAGTATAAAAAATCTATTAGAAGAAAAAGTGACATTGTTTTTTACTACAATGTGCAGTGCGAATTAAATGAATTTCATTTACTCATTGCTTTTATGATGATAAGTAGGTATTCGATTACTTCCGATGACTTAAGCTTATATTTAGTCAATACCCTTTTTATAAAAACATTCAGATTAACATGTTGGCTAAGTTTAAGTCTTTTTTACTTATGTAAAGTTTGAACTAGTCAATCACAAATGAAATCTTATTTCCTGACTTATCATACTAAAACACACATGATGATGTCAACGCTATGTCCTGTTCTGTCCTTTTTTTCTTCTTCCGCGTGCTTCTCGTATACGCACATATATACATATACATCGTGAATGACTAGAATTAAATTACAAAATTGATTCTCAATTCTTTATGTTTTAAACTATTGTTTATTGTAAATTTCGATTTTAAATTCTGTTGTCTTTATTTATTACTGTTGACTTTCTTTATTATGATCCGTAAATATGATAAATACACATGTCAATTCAAGCACAATGTGCTTCAAGAATATCGTCCTGAAATTTACAGTTATGAATTTAAAGCATTAGCTAAACGTTTTAAGATTAAAGGTGGTCATAAACTTATTATGAGTTGGTACCGTCGATGGAATGGTGATGTTGATTCTTTAAAGCCAACATCTAAAGGTTGTCGATCACGTACAATGACACGAAAACAAGTTAGACATCACATTTTAGAATTTGTCGAATCAATGAATAACAAACATGTAGCTGTTGATTATAATGTGGTTCAGGCACATATTGAATCTGTGCTGAAGCGAAAAGTACCGATACGTACAATCAGACGATATGGTAAAGAATGTGGTATAAAATGGAAAAAACTTCTGAAATAACCACATGTGATGGTTAGTATATATTCAGTTAATGCTTATTAAATTATCTCATCAATATCTCTTTCTATGCGTTTTTAGCTGACAATAGCTTTTGGGAAAATATTGGTCGATTTAGAAGGTCATTACAACGAATAAACAATGATCGATTGATCTTTATTGATGAAACAGCTATATATTCTATTATAATTCATCATAAAACTCTTGTTACTCCTGGTGAACAACCATTAATTCTAGTTACACAACCTTCAGCATATGCAAAACGATATAATTTTGTTGGTGCTATTAATGGTTCTCAATCGATTGCATGTATGACATTGACTCCAGAAGATCGTAACAACTGGCGAATCAAAGGGATTAGACAATGGGTGATAAATAAATGGATTACTGATGCATTAGCACCAGTAATCAATCGCTTAAATATTGACAACACTTATCTTATATGTGATAAAAGTAGAGCTCATAACGAAGCAAATATGATTCAAGCATTACGAGCTGGTAAACGTAAATCGGTTAAAAAGATTTTATATATGTCAACAGCATCCGCAAAATACGTTTTACCAGTAGATGATTCACTGTGGTACTCTTTTTAAAAAAAGAATTCGAAATCAACATCCATTATGTACAATTGATATACCTTCAATACTTTCCGAAAAATTCCATTCGTTATCTAGACAAGAAATTAAAAATGCATATCGCAAATGTAGCTTGACATATGGAAATGATGAATATTATGACAAATCTTAACATTGTTTTTATAGATTTTTTTGTTATAAGCTAGATACACATACATATTGTAGTAAATAAAAATGTCACTTTTTCTTCTAATAGATTTTTTATACTTTAAACTACGTTTGATGTTCAACGTAAATATATCAAAAGATGCAGCGCGTTCCGGACTTTCTCGCTATATATAGTAGATCAATAAATAAAAGAAATATAATAACAAAAGCAAAAAAAATAAAGGGAGAAAATTCAATTGGCCCCTGCTGTAATTTATATGTGCATGCAACTGGACAGTTCGATTACGATAGTAAAAGGTCGAGTCTCAGTCAACCTTAGTCAAAATTTTGTTTTTTTCAATTGTTTGACCAAGACTGACCAGGACTTGGGATTTTACTTTCGTAATCAGTCTGTGCCGTCTTATGTATATATAAATTAAGTCAAGCTGAGCAACTCTAGATAAAGATCTTGTAAAGTTCTGGAAGTTCTTCTTAGAAACAAGTTCCCATCTTTGTCAGGAAGTCTTCAGTCTCGGTATATCCCTAGATCAGTCTAGCCAGAAAACTAAAAAACACATCAATTTTGATCGGCACTAGGACAGTCTTAGACTTGGTCGGGCTGCTGGTTTGTACAAAGTGTTAGATAGAGTCGAGAGGAACATTTCTTAATGAAGTTTCCCTGAAGTCTCATAGGGCAGTCGCAGAGAAAAATGTTCATCCATGTAAAGAAAACTTGTATCACTACGCCACGTAACGAAACTCAATGATATCGAGACCGAAACATACCGAAACCGAGACAAGCCCAGATCGAAACCGAGACTGAGACTGAGACTGACACTGACCGAGACCGAGACCGAGACCGAGACTGATTGAAACTAAGACGAACCGAGACCGAGATGGATGGAGACCGAGACTGAGCTCTCGGTCTCGGTATATCCCTAGTGTACAATAAATAATTCCATTAAATTTTTTTCCTTTTTTGTTATCTTTCAAAAAATAAAAAACCTGTTTTCAGTCAAACAATGACGATTGTAATCAAACAGAAGGTACGTTCAATGTTTGAAATAGTGTACAAATATTATTAAATTATTGAGAACCGGGGTATTCTACGCACTAGATTGTTCCAAAGAGATCACGACTCATGAAAACTTAAAACACATTGCTAACAGAGGTCAGGCAAAAACGCTCACAGGGACGTGATTTTTTATTTCAATCTTTTCATAATGAATTTATATTTTTCTTCGCTCGTCTAAGTGGAAAATGTCACTTCAAATTTCTTGTACAACTCTACTTTGACTAATCGAAACAAAAAGTTACTATGCATGTGATTAGTCGAATATATCATCTAATGAGCTTATGTGGATTACGTTTTTAATCAACAGAATAGCTTTGTAACAAAGAAAACGAACAGGCTGTTACGCTTCAATCGTTCCTATTCAATAAGTACAAGGTATTTCTCTTTACGAAGTGCTTTAGAAGGTTAGCTACGTTTTCGTTGTATTATACGTAAGTTTATTCTTTCTTTTTAACAATACTCAGGCAGACAATGAACGGTCAAAACTGCGTTTAAACGGTTTATGAGAGCGTTTATACCGTTCCAACGCCTATAAACTGTCTTACCATGGAATTTTTTAACATGAAAGTGTTTCTACGGCTTATCTGCAATCCAGGCAGACAATAAAAAGTCACGACTGCGTTTAAAAGAGTCTATCAAGCGTTTTCATGCGTGTAAACGTGTTTATCGATGAAATTCTCATTCTACACACGTTTTCACGGTTTATTTTCAGGCAAAATTGGCCAAAACCGTTAAAAACGGCTCAATTCCGTGGTTTTTCCAAAGACATACGTTTTAACAAGATTTTTCCGTTTTGCTTCGATTATCAAGAAAAAAACCAAAACTACAAAAATCTTATTATCATTATGCTCTCAGTGAGTAATGTACATCGTCACTTACTGATTGTTAGTAGGTGGTAGTCTGCACTACTCATTTGCTACTAATGAGTAGTAAACGTTTAGTTTAACTATTCTGCGACACTTATACATGGTCGAATGTATCTATATCACATAACATGAGATTGTGAGTAATCAGTCTGGTTACTTTCTAACAGGTAGTAAGTGTTGCGATTTGTTGTTTATTAGTAACAGGCAACTGATGGTTAGAACCTGTATCTCTTACTAATAAATAGTAAAAGATTAGGTCCGATATTAATTATTAGTGAGTAGGTATTTTAAACCAAGAAAACTTTTTTATTGCGATTAAGTTGAAGTCAAAATAGATAGGAGTATAATGATCTTACTGAAAATACTCTTCATAATAAACTTACATGTATTTTATTAATGTATTGTCTGTGTATCTACTCAGCAATATCTCACTATTACTGGAAAATCGATACGACAAATACAGTCCAGAACAATTGAAATTTTATCCTTTGATTTTTTTGTTTTTTTTTATTACTATACGTTTTTATCTATTAACTTACTATATACGGAAAGAAAGCCCAGAGATTATTGCATCTGTTGATATATTTACTTTGAACATCAAATGCAGTTTAAAATGTAAAAACTACATTAGAAAAAAAGTGATATTTGTTTTTATTACAGGGTTTTTATCATGTTGTAACATTATTTATTTCGCATATATCTCGGCTTAGATAAACGATGAAATCTTGAAATTCTTTTCAAAAGATGCACTGTGAAAAGCTCTACAAAAGCTGTATGATTGAATTCCTTTTTAGCTGTTTTGATGGTTTTTCTTATACTCACAATTAACAACATTTATATCAGTCTCACTTCCCATCATACTGAAAATGTTGGAAGACTTTTTTTGTTCTGCATATATCTCGAATTGAGAAAATGATGAAATATTGAATATGCTTTTAAAAGATGCGCTGTCGAAAGCTCTACAAAACCTGTATAGATCAAATCCTATAGTGACTCAGAAAAGCTCTCGAAATATTTTCTATATGGTAGGAAGTATAATACTACCACCTATAAGTTGTTCATTTTGAGTATAAGAAAAATTATTAGAACAGGTAAAGGAGTTTCAATCATACAGCTTTTGTAGAACTTTTCACAACGCATCTTTTGAAAAAAATTCCAAGATTTTATCATTTATCTAAGCCGAGATATATGCGAAATAAAAAATGTTACAACATGATAAAAACCCTGTAATAAAAACAAATATCACTTTTTTTCTAATGTAGTTTTTACATTTTAAACTGCATTTGATGTTCAAAGTAAATATACCAACAGATGCAGTAAGCTCTGGGCTTTCTTTTTATATATAGTAAGTTAATAGATAAAAACGTATAGTAATAAAAAAAAACAAAAAAATCAAAGGATATAATTTCAATTGTCCTCGACTGTATATATGGGCAAAATTTCAGACTCAAATTTGTTTGTTCGGTTTTTCTGCATATATCTTGTGTCACGTGAAAAAATCAGTAAAATGGTCATAACATTCGAAACAAGCCCTATGAGCCCAGACTCTCTTAGGATTTTTCTTAAAATAATGTCTCCGACATATGGACAAAATATCAGTGAAAATGGCATGGATCAGTTGGAGACCTTGCTTCGTAAGTAATAATTCAAATTTTTCTTTAAAAGTTTTGTCTTTGATAGGAATAGATACCGCAATTACAGTGCACCTCAATAATATTTTTTCTCTATGTATTTCTAACTATAAACTACTATAGTTCGCTCTTTTTTAAGTAATGAGTATACAGTGACAAAGTACAGACTTCACTGTATCATATGGCCGATGGATCATAAGTAACGAATACAAATCAGACGACAAAAAAATACGTCAAAAGAGAAGATGATGTTTTGTTTTTACGACAATTTGTAATACGAGCAAATCTAATTTTTATCTTTCCGTTGTTTTTTTTTTCATCTATGAAAAAATAATAAGGAAAAGATAAAAATTAGATTTGGTCGTATTACAAATTGTCGTAAAAACAAAACATCACCTTTTCTTCTGACGTGTTTTTTTTTGTCGTCTGATTTGTATTCGTTACTTATGATCAATCGACCATATGATACAGTGAAGTCTGTACTTTCTCGCTGTATACTCACTATTTAAAAAAGAGCGAACTATAGTAGTTTAAAGTTAGGAATACATAGGGGAGAAATATTATTGAGGTACATTGTAGATAAAACGTAATGGTCACACGAATGATAAAGAATTATGGACCAATTCTGTTATTATTTATCTATGTTATGTTGGGTATTTTAATTGATCAAATCTTTATTCGTAAAGCTTTTCTACCTAAATCAACGTGTGCATTATACACACTATCGATAAAAAATCCAATTGAAATTCCATTTCAAGTATCACCCAATGTTCAAATTATTAATTTAAGTCAACCGATTAATGCTGATTTTAAATGTATAAATACCAAAAAACTTCTGAATTTTATCAATACTACTATATGTTTACATGAAACCAAAAATGATAGATATGTTAGTAATTCATTCCATGGTACAAATTCTATTTGGGAAGAAGAAGGAGTAAAACGTATACTTCAACTTCTTATTCGTCATCCATATCTTGATTTTATTGATATTGGAGCAAATATTGGTACTTATACAATGTATGCTGCTGCTTTAGGTCGATTTGTATTGGCTATTGATTGTTTTGCTCCTAATATTAATCGTATTCATCGTGCTGTTCAAATAACTAACGTTGCTAATCGAGTTGTTCTTATTCAAAATGCAATTTTTACTCATTCTGGACAATATTTACATTTGAAAAACTATTCAAGAAATATTGGTGGACAAGAATTAGATATTTCTAAAAAACTGTTTATTAATCAGAATGTAATAAACAATCCATATATAGTTAAAACAATAAAATTTGATGAATTATTACC